CCAATAATGCAAGTAAAGAAACCTGACGGGTACGTGTATATTGAAGCATAGCATTATGCTTCGTGGGGGTGTTGAAGCCCCTTGTATTCCAAATGAGGAGTGTTATTTGCAAAGAGCAGTCACCTTGGTGGCTTCCCCTCTACTTCTTAAACCCTCCCTGCCTGTTTGGAATACAAGGGGCTTGCAACCGAATGTCTGTTGATCCACACAAAACATCAAAAGCATTGAAGTGTAAAATTGGAATCAAACTCTATTTTGTTGATCGAGACCTAACACAATTTATTACTTTGTTGAACTCCTCTTGAGAAGGTAGAGCACTTGGTTTAATAGGTGCGGGTGAGCCAGCAACTTCCTTCGGACTCTCAGGGACTGGAGAAATATCAACAACAGCTTTCCCTTTCAATTTAGCTCTCAGATCTTGAAGTACCTCAGGCTCTTGATTATGAGATGTAGTTCCGTTAGCAGGTTCAATAGGGATAATATGCGGTATCTTCTTCCTCCAGACCCTCTTGGTGTTATACCTAGGTGGAGGAAGAGAACAGTCATGCTCGAAAACCCCACATTGAACGCAACAACTTGGCAAGCCACAATAGTCCACACTAATAAACATTTCCTTCATATTATCCGGAGTTATACTAATCCTGTCTACACGCGGCTTCTTCGCCTGAATCTCTAACAAATTTGAATAGTACCAAAATTTTCTCTACGAGATGTGGAATAATCCATACAAACGGTTTGCCCAGAGAACTGGCAATACTCCCTAACCCCTCTCTAGAAGCTAATTCTGCCGTTAGACCTGATAGTTTTATCCAAGTTGGAATATCCGAATTGTCGATCTCAGTAGTTTGAATACCAGGTTCCCAACGTCTGAGACAAATAGTCTTGTCCTTATAGTGCCAAGGACCTCCCTAAAAAATCCATCGACAAACAAATTCAGAAGGAAACTGGAAAGAATAAGGCGGTCCTCTAGTAGGGAAACTTTTACCTCTCCTTCCTTGCCCCAGATCCAATTTGCCCAGAACCTCAGAGTCGAGATAGACGGTGGATTGGCCAGAAATCAACCCACGAGAGTGTGTTCCCAGCGCCTTTGCCCTTCCTCAATGACTGATTTAGGGATTCGAAGTGAACCGTTGATGAACTCCGGCTCAAAGTAGTCAAGCCTGGTCTCCTCCGCAACACGAAACAGTGATGCCCAGGACTTGCCGCTGCCAACGGCGCCCGACAAGGCCCCATCAGCGACGAGAGTCATCGCGATGGAGAAAGAAATTTCAGAACAGTAGAGAAGAGAGAGAGAGAGAGAGAGAGAGAGAGAGAATCAGTTATCTAACTTGATCTTTAATGTTGACTTTTTTCGGTACCACATTTTCTATGGTTTTACAATTATTGATTTTTATGAACATTAATCCAGGCTCGGGTTGGAGCTACATGTCAAGGTGGTTTAACAACTGTTGAACTACGATTTTAGAACAAAATACCCTAATGCTAACTTTTCCGGTATGATTTTACAATTTCCGATTTTTCTGAACATAAATCGAGGCTTGGGTTAGAGCACCAGACCAAGCCTAATGTAACCACGGTTGAACTACGATTTTAGGACAAAATACCCTATTGGTAACTTTTCTGGTATGCCTTTCGGTATGGTTTACAATTATTGATTTTTTCTCAACATAAATCGAGATTCAAGTTGAAGTAACTTGTCATGCCTACACCAACGACTTTTCCTCACTTCAATTGTCACCTTGAAAAAGGAGTTGCGGATTCATAAATCAGTGGATTGGATATATGAATTCATGGATTAAGTGGATTGGTGAATTTATAAATTGGATAATATAGTTTGGTGGATTAATCCTTAAATTCAAATGATAGTTGTCACTTGTTACCTCTACTTCTCAGAGATTACTATTGTCCCAATATCCAACTTCCTATTGCTTGCAACATAATTGTATCTAAAATTGAATTGGTATGCAAGGGATCTAGAACGGACAAAGGGTGGAGAGCAAACATGGCAACATCTGACGCGCGGGTGACCCATATAATAATATTAAAAAAATACGGTAGTGCATAATAGCAAAGCTCTTACGAAACAGTAACTTCCTTATATCTTAAATTATTTAGGATATATGTATCACTTAATCAAACATAGCAACTAGATAGATCAGTTCGTATTAAATTGAGCTTAATAATTAGTAGGACTTTGCTACGGTGACATGCATGTCACGGTGACGAAACGATCGAGCCTCTCCTCTATGTATGCCCCCATTCCTCGACGGTTTTCCTAGGTATAGGCATATCCTTCAAATCCAAGATCATTCAACCCTGTATCCATTAGGCATTCCCCGAACGCAACCATCTCACCTCCATTTGCCTCATTGTCGCCCCTTTTTTCACTCGAGGTCAGAATTTGATTAAAATCACCGCCGCATAGCCACGGTCCTGCCCATTGGTTTGCTAGACGACGTAATAAGTCCCATGTTTCAAACTTATCTCCCGCTTCTGAACAACCATAAATCCCGGTAAAGCGCCACACCGTGTCACGCCCTTCCTCAATCCGCGCATCCAGAAAATGGAGGGAGCCATCCATTACTAACTAATTCTTGACCCTTCATTTAGAAAATCCTGATCTAAGGATGAAGATTTAAAGGTCATTTTTATTTTCCCTAGCTTTCTTAATCAACTCATATCTTCTTCGTTTTAACTCGGATTTTAATTTTTTTTTTGCACAGATGGAACGAGTTCATTGTGCTCTATAAAATGCGATACAATTTCAATATTTTTTGAGAAAAAAAAAATTCTTGCCTCTCGGTACCAACTGCATACCATATGTTATCTTCTTCATTTTTAATTCACTTTTGAAAACGTTTGCACAGAAGGAACGAGTTCATCATGATCTATTGGATCTGCAAATTTCTGGGTGAACAAATTACAGGACCAAAAAATACCACACAATACCACCATGGTACGGGGTGGTATCTTGTGGTACACAATTGTTAAAAGTCGTAAATGACAGTTAATATACTTCTACTATCATGTATCCAGCCATCTTACGGTCTTGGTTTGTTCATACCACCATGGTATGCTTTTCAAACCATAGGTATGTTCTTATTTCAATACCATTCAATACCATATGGTAGAGACTAGTAAAAAGTGACTCAATTTTTTGGTTTGAAAAATATATCAAAGTGGATATCATTTTGAAGAGCACAATTAATCTGATCTAACTGTGCAAAAAAAAAAATTCAACTTAAAACGAGTAAGAAATCGACCGTCAAAAATTAAGGAGGGAAAAATTAAAGGCTTTCCAGAAGAAAGAGGGATGCTGATGTCATGATGATGTGGACGGGTTACTCATGGTTACTCACTTACTCACCATAAGGTTACTGACCTGATCTGTTCCTTTTTGGAGTCTCAACTTCAAGCCGTATGATCCAAACAAAATGAGGGAGCCACCTTTAAATATACAAGATTATTTTCATACAATTATCCATATATAAATGTCGATGATAATTGTCACCTATCTATAACTAATTACGTCAAAATTTAACAAATAATTTTGTATCATAATAAATTGGCCTATCATATATATTTCCTGTAATTAGCGTGGTAGCTGATTTTTTTATGTATAAATTTGAAAAATATTTTAAAAATTCATTGTTGCTTACACCGAAATTTTGCAATAATTAATTGTCATATTGTTCATGGTAATTTACCATGATTAATAATTAGTCACGAGAAATGAAGAATAAAATATAGGTAAATTAATTATCGTGATTAGAAACATGCAATCAATTACAGTAAATTTTACCACGACTAATAATATACTTTTCAATACGGAAAAAGTTCTCATGATTAAAATCACGTGACTAGAAACCTAAGATTTTTTTCAACCTATGGTAAGTGATAAAAGACTAAATTAATTCACACAAACACAACAATTCATTAACTCAATACTGTTGACATATATTTTTGTTAAGTGAATACTTCTATTGAAGGTAAGTAATTATATTAATTGTACGTGTTTATATTAAAAATAAAGTAAAATTATGTGTTGATTGTTATATTTTATTCATTATATAAATTATGAATTGTTAATTTAACCGAAAAATTGTCTCACTTAATGAGAATGTGATGTTATATTGGTTAATTTGGTTAACCAATTAACCAAACCGATTAAACTTTACTTTAGTTAATTAGGTTGTTGTATTAGCTTGGACGATTTAGTTAATAGAATTTAGACTTACTTAGTTTGATAAATGTCATGGTAACCATTTGAACACCCTACTGTTTGCTCCGACCAAGAAATGGCAACTAGTAAGATCGGGGAGATAGATACAAATATTGAAGCGAATTTTGGGCATTCATGAATATCTATGATTAATATTCTTTTATATCTTCTCAACTATTGTGCACTATTCAAAAATATATTAATATTATAGAAGTGAGAAATTATAAATAAAAAATCACCAATACTAAGAAAAATAAGAAAAAATAATACTTATTCATGAGATACCAAAAATATATTAGGAATAATGCATATGTTAAAATAAAAAAGGATAATTTATACTAAATATTGTGTACCGTGTATGCATGTATAATCGAGCAGATTCGGCTTGAACAGTGAGAAATATTTGTCCACTAGACCAGCCATAACAAGCATTGGAAATAATGGGAAAAAAGAAAAAAAAGGAGGGGAAAGTCTACAATAGGGGAGGATAAAAAGGCTAAAAAGGAAAAGAAGGCTATTGGGGGAGGGTTTACCTTTCTGAAAAAGACAAAAGAAGGAGGAAAAAGTGGGTTGCTGGTGGAAGAAGATGATTGGGCCACGCAGCTGGTGCCCCCCTTTTTTTGTTTTTTTTTTGTAATAGATTGAATTTAAATGGTTTTTTTGTATGTTTAGGCTAACGGCCATATTCTACAACCGCCATATTTTCAACGGCTATTTTTTCAACGGCCATATTTTTTCAACTCTATAAATAGAATTCATTCTTCACTTTCTTCCACCACTTATCAAACTCTCTTCCTACCTTCTAAACAAAAAATTCTCTTCTTCCCAAGCACTCTGTAATCGTAATCATGGTTTCTTCCGGTATCGAGCGCAATCCGAATTACACAATGCCTGAAGACCTTGTTTTGTGCCAAGCTTGGATGGAAGTTTCACAAGATCCTATTATCGGTCGTTATCAATCTTCACCAGCTTTCTGTAAAAGAAGGATATTCTGCAAATGGTTTTATGATCAATCGTACCAATGGCGCCTTGAAGACGATGGCAATTTATCAACCATTCATGTCAGAAGTGGTATTCGGCATTGAGGGAAGCAAATGCTAATCCACCAAGCGGAACTAACCAAGTAGATGTGGTTAGTCAACTTCTAAAACATCTATATTTAATTAATAGTATAATTTTAGTGTTCTAATTTATAATCATGTGTATTGTTTCTAATTAATCGTGTAGACCCGTCAAGCGAAAGCTATTTTCAAGACGGACACGAAGAAAGACTGGAAGTTGGAAGAATGTTGGCAACTACTCCAAGACTGTCCAAGATTTATGCAACAATTTTATGCTCCCGTTGCACCCATTCCACCAATGGATGGATCTCAATCGGCTATGTCAAGTGATGAACCTGATAGCCTCGGCGTTCATGCAGCTGCTGCTCCAAGAGTGATCAACCGACCCGAAGGTCGAGATCAACAAAAGAGAAAGAAAAGAGGAGGTGGTGATTCTTCTGCCATGGAAGCTTTTCAAAAGAGTTTGACAGACATGGCGGCAAGTTCGGCAACACATGCAAAATTGGTTGTGTGTTTGATTCACCCTGAGCGAGAAATCAATTTCAAAGAGATCAAATTATGTTTGCGTACCAATCATCACCAACTTCTACACCACCTGGAGGATCTTCCAGTAGCCCATTTGATGACACTTACACCCCGGACCAGTAGTCTCTAAAAGGTTGTTTGGTTAATTGTTGATGTATGTTTTATTTTTAGTGTGTTTGATTTATGTACTTTCAATTTACCCCCGATGTATCTTTTATTTTCAATGTATCCTTTTTATGTTTTTGTTCAATATTTAATGCAACAACTTTCTTTATTAAGATACTAGAAAATGGAGAATACATTGATAATAAAGCACAACAAAAATAAATAAAGTAAATTCAGCACACAATACAAATTTAAGTAATTAAAGTGCACCATTTAAATTTAGAGTCCTTTCATATTTCTACTCCCCTCCTCCTGCTCTTGTCCACAAATGCTCAACCAAATCCGCTTTCAGCGCATGATGCCCTTCACGGTTACGAATCCTATTATGCCTTATCATGTACTTCATGAGAGTCGGAGTGTCATGATCCGGTGGATCCAATGTAACATCTGGATTAGTCTCATATTCAAAGGCCTCCACATATTCTTCTCCAAACTCATTTCGTTGGTCTTCAACTATCATATTCTGTAGAACAACGCAAGTTAACATAATCTCTCCCAATGTTTGTACATCCCAATATCGACCCGGAGCTCTAACAATGGCCCATCTTTCTTATAGAATGTCGAAAGCTCTCTCAACATCCTTGCGGTATGACTCTTGCAATTTTGCAAATAGTTTCTTCTTCTGGTTACTACGGTTGCTAATGGTTTTCACAAATGTTGACCATTCAGGATAAATTCCGTCAGCCAAGTAGTAACATTGATCGTAAATTTTACCATTTACTGTATAGCTGACTTTTGGAAGATTTCCTCTGACGGCTTCATCGAACAGTGGGGAGATTCCAAGCGTGCTTATGTCATTGTTTGATCCAGGACTTCCGAAGAAGGCATGCCAAATCCATGTGTCATATGATGCTACAGCTTCCAGGACAATTGTTGGCTTCCCCTTGTATCCAGTAAATTGTACTTGCCACGCCATTAGACAATTTTTCCACTCCCAATGCATGTAGTCGATTGAAACAATCATACCTGGAAAGCAATGGCGGACCCTGAATTTTAGGATAGATGTGTCGGCTAATAAAAACAATTTTAAAATATTTAATAATTTAAATAATTTAAAATAAACCTAAACCTTTTATTCATAAATTTCACCAATTTCATTATTTTTTATAGTGAACCAAGACGAGTTTTCATATTCTAACAAATTTCGTAGTTACATTTTTCCATTAGGTTGTAATCAAATCTTTTTATGTACATGATTAAACAATTATTCATAAAATAGTCACTCACCTTATACCAAAGATTGTTCTCGATTAAACTCATATATGGAAAATGTCATTTTGTAGCTTGCAGTTGCAAGAGGTAAAGTCAACACTAATTTAAGATGGGAAAACTAGTATGAGTATTTGGAAAGGTGGCCACAAGCGTCAATATGGAAGTTTGAATGAGGATATCGCCGGTTCGCAGCCGATAATTGGAGTGTGGCAACAGACGTCAACGTGGAAGGAAATGACTAAACTAGAAAGCAAGTTGAAAATTAACTTAAAAGAAAAATCTATGGAAGAATCTACGGGGGGAAATACAGTCTGGAACACTATCTAGTTACTTGACTTTACCTAATTTAAAGTCCGATAACTCTATATATACATATTTTAATAAAATTATGACAACTAAATTTTTTTTATGTAGTAAGATGTGTCGGTTACAATTATTAGAGGTGTGCAGGAGGTCCCGTGTTCGAATTTTTTACACCGAAATAATTTGGGTTCTTCACAAAAATTTCGAACCAAAGTGTGTCGGTTGACACACCTTGCTTAAAGGTAGGTACGCCCCTGCTGGAAAGCCACATCGATTCCTGTGATGAAGAAGGCGGCGAAGATCCTCCATATTTGGTGGTCGTAAGTACTCAGGACCATAGATGCAGATAATGACATTACAAAATTTACGCATACACTGCAGTACAGTGGTCTCACCCATATCAAATGTCTCGTCTAGGGTGTCGGCTGAGCATCTATTTGAAAGATTCCGGAGGGAAGTAGTAAGCTTTTGTTTGGGGGAGAATGATAGGCGACCCGCAGCATCTCGGCCTTGGTGGAAGTAGGGGTCGTGTTGAACAACGACACTCATGACTCGGTTGAACAAGGAGAGGGGCATCCGAAATCTCCTTCTAAAGAACCTAGCGTCGTTGGTTGGATTGGGAACGAAATGCTGCTGCATCAAGCATTGGTGTGCTTCTACCCTGTTACGCCTCCCAACTTTATGTGAATGTGAACGATGTCGAGATGAGAATGCTTGCTCTTGGAACATGAAGGCTCCTGCCATCGCCATCATTTTTTGACGATCACGGTCAAGCTGACACTCATACTTCCATTGCCTAGCATCATCATCTGATTGCTGCTCCCATCAGCTTATCTTTTAAGGGAATTCATGATGAAAAAAAGTATGTGTGTGTTGAGAGAAATATGAAGTTGAGAGAAGGAAGAAGGTTGGATGGTGGGATTAATGGATTGACAAAGTTTAGCCTTCATTTATAGCAACATGAAAAGATTCTCCAGCAATAATATGACAACTGGATGAACAATTGATGGCACCACTCAATATGATTAAAGCTGAATGAACAGTTGATGGCACCACTCAGCACCACTCAATATGATTAAAGTTGGATGAATAGTTGATGGCACCACTCAATATGATTAAAGCTGGATGGACAGTTGATTATACCACTCAATATGATTAAAGTTGGTCAAAAAATTGATGGAACCACTCATTTTGTGAAACTTGTGATGAGTTATAGTATTCTGAAAATTATCGAGATTCGTCATTGATGACGTCATATTTAATTAGCCATAAGAAAATTATGTCCAAATTAAAAAAAAAAATATCAAAATGTTTGTCTTAATTAATTAATACTACCTGTATAAAAATAATAAGTAAATTATCAAAATAAAGTTATCATATCAACTCTAGATTGATTTTGAAGAAAAAAACCCCTCCCCATTACCCTTTTTTCCCTCCCACTTATTGTGACCAAATCCTTTCCTCCACACTTTTTTCCGGGATTTTTCAATAATAGCACCTTTAAAAAAAATTAAAAAACTAGCACCCATCCGAAAAAATTGACAGAAATAGCACTAATTTTATTGAACCGCACCATAGGGGTGCGTTCCAAGCCACGTCAGCACACGAAACGCACTAGGAAGGTGCGGTTTACATATTCTGCGGAACGGTCTTCAAGACCGTTGGATGGAGGAGCGATCGAATCATCAGCACCTTCTAGAGGGTCGGAGCTGTCTGCACTGACGTTGTTCTCTCCTTCTTCATCGGAGGGGTCACTGACTGGTGCTGGTAGGGCATCCTCCATCTGATCCAGCTCATGAAAGGCACCTTCATCAGCTCCATAATGGTAGTTGTGAAAAATACCGCTGCCTGAGTGGAAGTTGTACTGAGGTTGGTTGGGGAGGTCCGGTTGAACTTCTTCTTCATATGACGGGGAAGATTGATGATGACCTTCACCTTGCTCTTGGTACTGAAAATATGAATGAGGATCATGGTAACTTTGGTAGGGATGATCGCCATATAATTCACCTCCACCACGGATACCAGATGTTTGACCGTGTCCAGAATGACCTCCAACGCCTACGACTAGGGATGGCAACAAAATCCGAACCCATGGGTACCCACCCGACCCAACCCGGTCAATGCGGGTAAAATCCGTGTTGACGGGTTTTGGGCCGGGTTCAGGTTTAAACCCGCTACACTATTCACCGGGTCGGGTTGGGTTTGGGTTTAGGTAAACCCGACCCATGGGTACCCGCCCACACATATAATTACTTTCCCGGTATATTTAATATTCTAAATAATATATTTTCCTTAAACAATTAATATTCTATATGGTTGTGGAGACATGTATAATTTGTTCTTTCTAATTGTTTAGAATGAAGTTGATATTATGAAGTGGAGAGTGAAGAAACTTAGTTGACGAGGAAGAAACTTTCAATTAATCTTTTGTTTATAGATGTTTATCTTTAATTTTGAACAATTTGTATTGATCATTTGCGGTTTGCTTGTATGCTCTAGATTGGTGTTTTTTTGTATGATTAATTTGTATGAGAAAATTGATGTTAAACTTTTATTTTGAAAGAAACCTGTTACTGTAAATTTTTTACCATAAAAACCCACGGGTATCCATGAACCCGCGAATACCCAGCGGGTTGGGTTGGGTTTGAGTTTTTCAAACCCAAGGGGTTTTTTGGTGGATAAACCCATGGGTTTGGGTTTGACAAAACCCGCCCCAACCCGACCCATTGCCATCCCTACCTACGACCAGCTCGGTGTAAACGAACATCTCGGCTTTGGAAAGATTGTTGGACCTCATGAATTCGAGCATGGCATCTACCTCATCCTGAGTGGTTATGAGATATTCCTCATGCCACAATGACCCACTTTCTCTGTTTGGATATCGGTACACCATACGATCAACTCTTCTCGTGCCATCCATGCAAGTAACGTTAGTGCACATTTGATGGAGGTCTTCAAGAAGCGGTCTGGTAGCGACCTTTATCTTCTGAAAATTGCCACCGACGTAGTGGCCCCCTTTCCGGTCTCTTCCGTGTAACCATTCCACCGTAAGCCAAGCGTGAACTTTTGGAATGCCATCTGCGATAAAACCGTTGTTCAGTTAATATCATAAAAATAAAAAATAAAAAATAACAATAAAAAGTAATACAAAATAAACTTACGAGTTAACGTTAATCGCAAAACTACTAAAGAAATATAGAGCTACAACAGAAAATTGAAAAGGGAGAAGGAGAGGTGTGAAGAGAAGTGGTTTTCCGGGAGGCCTTTTATAGGCAAAATTACTGATGAAAACTGCACCTTAGAAGTACAGTTTTTGTCTGCCATGCAGGCCCATACAGACCCACGTCTGTTACGTCTGTTATTCTGCATGGCATGTCGGAAATTGATTGACCAAAACCGCACCTTGGAGGTGCGGTTTGTATGGCAAAATCGCACCTTGGGGGTGCGGTTTTGTTTGGGAGAAACAAACCGCACCTTCATGGTGCGATTTTGATAGGTCAGGCCAAAACCGCACCTCGGCCAAGCGGTTTCTGTAGGTCAGACCTAAAACCGCTTGGCCAAGATGCGGTTTTGGTCCAGGAATATGGACCGCACCTTAGAGGTGCGGTTTAGTGCGGTTTAAATATAAAACGCAC